ATACCAAACTTATTGACATAAATTCATAAAATAGTACTTCAATAAAATTTTGAATGCGAGACAACAAACAAGATTACATGGTCTTTGACCTGTGACCTATCTGGAGCAGGTTAAGTTGGCATAGGACATATTCAGCAAGACTATACTGTTCATAAAATTCTTTTATCCCTGTATAAAAATATTATTGGCAGTTGTAGAAACTGGCCAAGGTAAATTACAGTATTAATACTCACCTGGAATTTTTATTATGATTCTTTGTTTAAGTATTGTTATCACATCCTACCCATTCTGTGATTTATTTACCTTATATCAAAAAAGTCATATTTACTTTTATCTATATATTCTATAGTTCTATACTAATATATTCTATAGTTTCAAATATCCTAGGAAACTAATAAAATGTTTAAGTAAGTATATCAACTATTTGTTTGCTCAGCATTTGATATTTAGCTGAAAGACCATCCATTACATCTCTACTGTTGTTTGTTACTTTGTAAAGAATAGCTATTGTCAAGGAAAGCACACCCCAATGACAAAATAGTGTTTGTTTGTTTTTGAATTTCGTGCAAAGCTACACGAGGGCTATCTGCGCTAGCTGTCCCTAATTTAGCAGCGTAAGACTAGAGGGAAGGCAGCTAGTCATCACCACCCACTGCCAACTCTTGGGCTACTCTTTTACCAACGAATAGTGGGATTGACAGTCACATCATAACGCCCCCACGGCTGAAAGGGCGAGCATGTTTGGTGGGAGAGGGATTCAAACCTGCGACCCTCAGATTGGGAGTCGAGTGCCTTAACCACCTGGCCATGCTGGGCCCAAAATATTGTTATCAGACTCGAATCAAACTCTAGGGTACTGAACGCTCTTCTTATCATTGGAAAATTAATAAAATTACAATTGCTTTAGGTGAATACCTCAAAACATAACTGTTATTTACCTGATTGAAAGACAGATCAGAAAATAAGGATATTAAATTTTTGATTTTCTCTAATCCTTTAACTCCAACTGTTTTAGCTATGGAGAAACCTAATCCAATTATGTTTTGCTGCCAGATTAAAAAACTAAACCCATAAGCCATACATAGTTCAATACTGGAATATGTTCATATCTCACATATATATGTAAACATAAAGATACATCTACACATTTTTACTTGTATATAAATTATTAAATTGTAACTTACCTTTTAAAAATTTATACACAAAATGGTGAAACTTCAAGAAGTTAAGTATTCTATGACTCCTTAATTCTACTAAAGCATCAAACACTGATTTTAATAACCAATCATAAAAAAAAATATGTCAATTCTATAACAACATACTTTTTTAGTACTTCTAAAACTTTCTTGCTGACACCACAGTGAGCCCAGGTCTTAATAGGTTTAGGGCAAGTCTTCCCCCTCACTTGGATACCCTCCATTTCTGCTCGATATATTTCCACCTCTACATACAAAAATACAATAAATGAATGTACCTCTTTCTTAAATAACAAACTTATTATTTGGAAAATAATATTTATTTTCTGATGGAAAACTGATATGTATATTTCAATATTACAGTTAAATAACATATTACTGTATGAAACTTGCAAATCATGATGTCACAGAAGGAAAATATACCCATATGAGTCTGTGTGTGTGTGCTATTAGCACTTTAACAAGTTTCCACACAATTACTCTAGTATATAACATAGTTTAAAATATCCTAGGAAACTAATAAAATGTTTAAATAAATATATCGACTATTTAGTTACTTAGTATTTGGTATATAAGTGAAACATCAGCCATTACATCTCTACTGTTTGGTTCTCACTTTGTAAATAATAGATTTTGTCAAGGAAAGTACATTCTAGTAACAAAACAGCAGTATTCAAACGAAAGCAAAATCCAGGGTACAGAAAGCTATTTTCACAAGTGGAAAATTAATAAAAGTATAACCACCTTTGGTTAACAACTCAAAAGAAAACTGTTATTTAATTGAGAGACAGGTCAAAAAATACAAAAAATAGATGTCTTAAATGGAGATCAACATGTCCTTTCCAAATCTTAAACTTGTGTCCTTTTATCATATTGTCTACAAAATACAGTACAAAAAGATCAGAGACCTTTATCCTATCAATCCTCCAAATAATCTTGTAATGTACCAAAATATAACCTCTTATCCTTTTCTTCTCAAAAGAACATAACATCTTAACCTCTTCCTATAAGACAACCTTTTCATCTTCAAGGTCCTAGTAGTTCTCTTCTGAACACTTTCAAATTAGTCAATACAATATCTTTTCTTAGATAAGGTGACCAAAACATTATGTAGTATTCCAAGTAAGGCTTGACAAGTGATTTGTACAGAGAAATAATTACTTCTTTTTGATTTTTAAATAAACCCTAAAACGCAAGTATACGATTTAATAACAGGTAAAAAGACACAAACACTGAAGTCTTCCTCAGATTCCCTGGCAATTTTAAAACTAGTGATTTTCAAACTAAAAACCTATTTTTTACACAATTGAATCTGAAACACATTTCATTCTTTGTTATACATGCATGCAACTGTCTAAAACCATTGCAGAATAAAACTGATCTACAATTATACATAAATCCATACACACACACACATTCATTGTTAAAATTCACCAACAAAAAATAGCAAGAACATTTATTACAACATTTGATTGTGAACAAAAGACACATGTTAACTAGTTCTAAAATAAACAGAAGTTTAAAAAATTGGGAAAGAAAATAGATGGTTCCTTAACAATTTCCTACGTGCAATTTTGAATAAAATGCTGTGTGATGAAACAGAACTTGGATTTCCTTTTTTAGCTAACATGTTTTGTCAGTGTACATTTTATAATACTTTAAATTTGCTCATGATAAGAAATGTAATTCTTTGAAATCATTCCAAAAATGTGAATGAAAATAAATTCTGACCTAATAAAGATTACAATATACAACAGATATATTTTTCAACATCCCTCTTAATTAGTCCATGACAAGGCTGTAGGAAGTGGTAAGGCCAGTCAGGCCATGGCCTGACCACTTTTTCATGGCATGTATAGCTACAGCTTATGTATTAAAACTTGTTTCTTGTAATTCAATACATTACATTGTGTGTATGCAGTATTCGTAGTAAAAATGACTCAAGATTCAATCTCAAAATCATTAAATTTTCAAAATGTTATTTACTAATCTTTACCAGATCAGTACTGCCTGTAAAATATATTCCTATTTCTAGTAAAAGTCTATAAATAAAGGGAAAATCAGCAATATTACTATCCCTTCTTTGTTACTAATCTTTGGAGGATAATGTCTGTCATAAAATTAAATCATACTTTTATCAATTTCTACTAAATATTTACCTGCAAATATTGGAGAAGTACCAACATTTCAAACAGTTATTTCTGTTATTTTTTGAAAGATTATACTGCTGGAAAATTCATTTATACTTTTATCAAAAATATTCAACACAAGCTGAGGTACCCATCCTTTGTCCAGGTTATGAATTAAAAAAAAAAGTGTGGGTGGATGCTATGATGAAACTCCTAACTTTCATACAATTTACTTATAACATATTATTACAGTATTCATTATTACCTCACCAAAAGTTTTGTATAAGCTTTAAAAATTCAATATATATAAACTTAAAACATGCTATACACTGTTTGATGGTCAGGGTGACTTTGTTAGAAGAGGTAGTGGCCAGAGTAATGATGGTAGGTGTGCTTCCTGTTACTCACTTTCAACACCTAGCTCTTAATGTCCTCCCACTGTGTTTCATGTGATTAATCAATTGATGGTAATTGGCCAGAGAAATGTATAACTCAAAAAATGGCTATTCATATCAGCCTTATTATGGCTGTTGGAGTAGAAACTTCAGCTGAGCTTATGTATTATTGCAATTCTGGCAGCCATTTGTTTTCATTGCATTCCTCCACAGAATGTGCTAGCTTACTCTCCAAGATATATCAGATGTTTGTCTGCCCTCCTGTCTGTGGGGCCATCTGTGAATGTAGTTATTGTTAACTTATGCAAAATATAATAAATGCTCAATAACAGCAATAATGGGGGGGTGGATGGGATTGTGAACCACCATTAACATGCCCTTTGTTCCAAATTATAGGTCTATTGGTCTTACATCAGTTGTGGGAAAAGTTTTGGAAAGTCTGATAAAAGATGTTTTGCAAAGTCATTTAACAAAGTTTAGAATTTTATTTGATAGTCAACATGGTTTCACTAAGGGAAAATCTTGCCTTACAAATCTTTTGACATTCTTTGAAAAGGTTACTGCTTATGTAGATGAGGGTAAGGGTGTAGGTTTAGTGTATCTGGAATTTTAGAAAACATTTGACAAAGTATCACATAAAAGGCTTGTAAACAAATTATCTCAGTAGGTGTGAGGGATAAATTAACAAATTGGATAGACAAGTGGCTGGATGGAAGAAAGCAAAGGGTTGTCACAAATTGAGTTCAGTCAAACTGGATTAATGTCACAAGTGGGGTACCTCATGGTTCAGTCTTAGGACCTTTGCTCTTTTTGATTTGCATCAATGACACAAGTGAAGGAATGGTCAATTAATTACTTATATTTGCTGATAATATTAAGATCTTGGGTGTTGCTGGTTGTTTCTGCTTTACAAAAGGATTTAGGACACTTAGTGAGTTGGGTGAATATATGGCAGAGAGGTTTTAATTACAATAAATGTAAAATAATGCATGTGGGTTATCATAATTTTATACTTTGAATTATAAGTATAATTTGGATGGGAATAACCTTAACATTGTCATGAAAAAAAGGGAGTTTGACATAGTCATTAACCAGTCTTTTAAGCCATCCAAGCAGTGTGCTGTTGCTAGTGGTAGGGCAAATAAGATTTTAGATTGCATCTACAGATATATTCAATACAAGTCTATAGAGGTTATAATTTCACTGTCAGTGTCAGTGGTTAGGCCATATCTGGAGTACTGTGTTCTGTCTTGAGTTCCTTACCTTAGGAAGGACATTGAATTGTTGGAAAGAGTTTAGAGAATAGCTACTAGAATGATATCTGGGATGGAGGGGTTGTCATATGAGAAGAAATTAAGATCTATGAAATTGTTTTAAGTTAAAAAAAGAAGTTAGAGGGGATCTGATTGAGATGTTTAAGATTGTTAATGAAACTGATAGTGTTGATGCATCATATTTTTCATACTTAATGGTGAGAATGGTAGGACTAGAGAGCACAAATGTATACTTTAGCAGGAAAGGAGTCATCTTCAGCTAAGACAGTTTTTTTTTCTAACAGCGTAGTTGGCCTTTGGATTGGGTTGCTTTCAGATGTTGTGGAAGCAGTAAATTTAAGTGAGTTTAAGAGAGAGGTTGATAAATATATGAATGATAAGGGCTGGCTTTGACAGCCTAGATGGATCAATAGGTCCCTTGTTGTCTCTAAATATGATTTTATGTTAAAAAATATCTACAAATAAGTATACGAGAAGCATTAACACTACCAACATCTATTTTTTACCATTCTTCAACAGATGATATGTTGTAAAGTTTATACATACTTTAATCAACAATGTCAATACACATCTAAAATTAAGTATGGCACAAGCACAAATACTACTACTAATTCTTTCTTCCTAATCTTTGAAAGCCCATTACTGTTGCAAAATTTACTCATATTTTTATCAACAATATCTAGTAAATCTCATAAAAAAGTAGAAGAGAAGCATCAATACTACTACCAATTCTTTTTTGTTAATTAAATTTGTTTCTTTTTTTTTTTGAGAAACTGACAAAACAAAGCATTTTTTCAGAGAAGAACAACACAATTTAATAGTTATTTTAGAAGTTTTAGGAACATATCACACAGTTTAAATTTTTTAATCATTTCTTTAGAAGTTTTTATTCCTGAATATATTATGTTAAATAATATCTGTTTGAATGCTAACAAACTTTTCATCAAGTAAGGTTTGTTGGGTTTAGCAACGACTCAAATCCTTATTTATTGAATATTATTGTTAGGTTTATCATATTCAAACAATGCATATAAACAAAATAACTTATTATATCTTGAAACTATATTTAATTATATATATTCATGATATTAAGAAAACACATAGGTTCAAAAATTAATTTAAGACAAAACCCTATAACCCAAGTGCTTTCAAAAGGTGGATATTTCTACATCAGAGCAAACTGGGAATACAGGGTAGGAGGATTTTGTACTTTTTCTTTAATTAGATATAAAATGATTTTGACCAAGAATATTGTTACAAAAATACTGTTGCCTAGCCTGAACTGTCACCACTTTGAAAGATCTCGTCCAAGGTCATCGATAAATATTTGTTAGTTTTGCATTTTTTATAATTTATAACTGGAAGTGGTGACAACTGCAATCAGTAAAATATAGTATCAAAATAAATAACTTTATGAACATAAGTCAAGTTGAAATTAACTTGATGTATAAAATGATACTTTCTGATCAACAATAAAAAAAAGTTGATTTTAAGAGGAAATTAACAATTTTGAGATTTTTCCAAAACAGTTTCACAACAAAATTTTGGAAATTTCAGAACATAAAAAAAATTAAAAATCAAATCACATTTTTTTTAAAACCAAATCCACATTCTATTTAGTAAGCTTGTTCATGCAATTTAGTTAAGTATCTCTATTGTGAGAAGGAAAATAAAAATAAAAAAATCAATATTTTTATATAGTGAATTCTGTACCTTCTTGAGTCATTTTTGCAAGTTCTGGAACCTCAACATAAAAATTCTTACGGAATGGCATGTAAGAAATATCATCTCTGGAGATTGTGACCATTTTTTTTGTTTTATTTGCTTGTAAGTCAGACATTGCAGTTTGCAAATCTTCCCCTTCTTCTTCTGAAGAATACTATAACAAAAAGCATGATTACATATTCCAGACAAAATTATATCACTTCTCATCAACATAATTTCACTAATCACTGGAACATAATTTACCATATGCTCAAAATCAATTATTTTTTCCATTAAAATGTTTTTTAGTGAATAATAAAATTATAGAAATAATTATAAAATAAAAATCTAGGATTAGCAATGCATGTAAGCAGTGCTTAAACTGGGGAAAAGAGGAA